ATATCAATACTATCATCAGAATAATATTTCAAGATAATCATGGAAAAATTGTTTGGCCGCTTTGATTCTATCGTAGTAATATTACCTGTAATATCGACTTAATATTACAATTATATTGGCTAGATATTTTAGTTGTAATGTTTTAATATTTACATAAATACAATGAAATATCTCAGAAATATTTTCGTTTTCTTTGGATAATAATTAGGTGATATTGTTCAAATGTAAACTAAATATTAAAAGGAGTTTAAATAATGTTTCCAGGCCATTGTAACAATATTTTGTCATCATTAACAGGTATTACAGTGATAATTTCTTAATATAACAAAAATGTTGAAGCGATTGAGCTAAAATATGATGTAAATATTAAAATAATATACTCAAAAGCTTCATAAATACTCGCACAATACTAATCGAATATTTATCAGTGATATATTGATATTAATGTTCAATTGAATGAATATATTAAGACAATGTTGCAGTACTCTCATATAGTGATGATATCGTTAATAAAAATTATTGTAGAAATTATGTCTGGAACGTGTACTGATTGAACAACTCTATTGTAAAATTTCGTGTCAATGTATTTTTATCAACTCAAAAATAAAATCAAAAGCTTGGCTTTGATATTATTAAAAGAAATGAAAAGTTAATGCACGAACACTCAAGATTACAAGTATAGAATCATTAAATCAGCACAAGTACAAGGCATTGGCACAATAATTTTTATACTCTAACATCAGAAAACATTAACAAAATACTATAATTGATCACTAAACTATGACTACAAAACTGAAAATCTTTATAAACTGCAACATTGTCATTTTACGGGTAGTAAAATGAAAAATAGTTTTGAATTCAGTAAATTCTATTTATTTGTGTTGAATTTATCATTTTGACAATGTTTAAACATAATGATGATTTTTTCAAAATCTAGATATGTTTAGTAATAGTGGTTTTTAAAACATTTTTTTAAATATTTAAGTTTCTAAAACAAAAATTATGTTAAGTCAGTAAAAGCAGTTAACTCAAAAGAAAATATGAAAAAATGAAAATTTTATTTCATTTTTCAGTTGACCTTAATGTTAGATAACTAGTAGTATCGACTTATTAGTCTTCGTTTTTATTTTTCTTTTCAAATTTCTCGTTGCCGTCGTTTTCTTCAGTTTTTTGATCATTTTTTTTCTGCCGAAACGGTGCATTGGCTAACCAGGATCCAATTTTCAATTCAACTGCAGTTTCTGTTGCTTCAGGGAACATTTTCATGACAGCAGCTAAAATAAGAACACAATCATTAACTATCATATGAGTAAAATAATGTAAAATAGAAAATAAATATAACTTAGTTTCTTACCTATAATACAGTTAGACAATACAAAAGACGAAAAAGCGGTTTTTTTTTGTTTCCCTTTGAAACTAAAATTTTTAGCTAGCTGGTCAACCATGACTCTGGCTAAAATATTGTTGGTAAGCGTAGCAACATCTTTTCCTCCTCTTCTGGCAAGTAAATCAATCTACAACGATAAGAAAAATTAAATACTTCTTAGGAAAATACTGCAAAGCTTATTAATTTATGAAAAAAGGTGTTTTTACCACTTCTTTCTTGATATTATTATTTTCTAGCAGTCCTTCAAATGCTGATAATTCTTCTTCAGTTTTTAAAGGAAAACGCGAGGATAAATCCTTCTCATTTGAATTTTCTTCATTCTTATTACTCAGAGAAACTTCTTTTAATTGTTCGAGAATCAACTTTGGAATATCTTTTAATTCAAGTAAAATCCTATGAGTTTTTTTTGCATTTTCTTCTTGCATTTCTACAAATTTAGGTTACATATAAATGTTAATTTATAGATCGAATAGTTAACTTGAATATAAAAATACTTACGGATGATATAGTTCAATTTATCCATAATATTATAACTTTCGTTGGACTTGACCTTCGGCTTCGCGATATTTTGATTTGAATCTAAATCATTCTGTTCACGATCAACAACACGGTCTGACTTCAACTTTGGTATCGGCTTAAATTGTGGCAAAGTCGACGCTATTTTTGTTACTGATAACTGTTCCGCTTCTGTATTTTTCATTGGTGGCAGTTTTTTTTCATTTTTTAATCTTTTTTCTGTGGTCTCATCTTCATCTTCATCATCACTTGAAGAAGATATTACATTTTGTTTATTGGAACCCTTATTCAATTGAGTTGATACTTGAGTTTGACTCTCCTCATTTGATTTACTATCGTCCTCACAGTCTGTTAAAGCTACTGCTAAGGACTCTTTCCGCATAGCATCTTTATAAGTAGCTAGAAATTGTAGAAAAACATTAAAAAATTACTCGTATATTAATGAAAGATCGTTTCTATTAATATATGTAATGTTAAGGATTACCAGCTGTTGAAAAAATACGTTTTACTTCGTATGATGTCCAATCATCAGTAGGCTTATGCAGTTGACGAACAGCTTTAGAAATTTCATCTTTTTTAGTACTCAGTGGATACTGGCAAAATTTTTTAGAATTCGACAGCCACAGAGACGGAACAGCCATTATGCCGTCTTCAAATTCCACGATGCTCCACATATCTAAACATAAAAAAAAAATAAATAACTTGAGTCTCAAAAGCAGTTCAAACATTACTTTTAATATAATTGTCAAGTTAGGTCACTCTGTACTATGATATTCGATGCCTACTAACTATTTTTATCGACTAAACTCTGGGTTTGGGTCTATATCACAACTTTTTTAAGTGGAAGTAAGGAGCCAAGAAAGGAGATTTTTTCGATCGATTTTGTATTATTTTCAGAAGTCCTAGTTTAAAATCATGATAATAGCAATTTCTATGTATATCTTATTATTTCTTAACAATCAGTTCACGAGAGAGATCGATCCGATCCGATTTTTGTATACACTGCAGAGATCTCGAGGCGTAATTATCTAACGCAAGAATCAGCGCGACTCGGATATTATATACACCCATTATAGAGACAGGCTCTCTCGCGAGCACGCATAAAAACTAAAAAAAGTCCGAAGTAAGATCATTGTTTTTCGATGGCTCGTTACGTTAGCATTGGGTAACTCTATATTTTCAAGTGACAAGAGAAGAAAGAAAGAAAATTGTGGAAAGTTACGTGTGTATCGCGCGCGCGCGTAGTTAGGCCAAGCTTGGATGTGGACGTAAGGTTTACCGGCATACATTCCATTATTCGTCTAGAAGTGACCTATTTGATTCATCGTGGATTTGATTGGCCGTTAATTTTCTTTTTCGAAACTGGTCGCGCGCGACAACTTGCTTGAAACTTTATTTGTCGGTACAAAATAAATAGAAAAACTGCTGGAATCGTTTTCTCGTTTGTTCGATCTGTGTGCCGGTCGGGAGCTAACTAAACTCAACGGGTTGTATCATCCAATAAGTTACCGAGGCTGCGTAATCGATTCGACACGTCGATCAGGGATATTGTTTTGTTTACAACAATTATAACTGGCTTTCTCCTCTCGAGTGTCAACTAACTTTTCGTATCTTCGTTACTTACAAACCGAAATTTAACCAAAATTTATTCATTCGAGTCGTATGGAGGACGTGCTAACTTCGACGATTCGCGACTGATAACATCCTACGCAACGGTCAAATTCTGATCGGCGCCATTTTTCAGCAGCAATCGGACCAGAATCGTTCTCGCTCTCCATAGCTAAGTTTAGTAGTGTTGTTGGCCTAATTGTCCCTCGCGTCGACTCGCACCGGCCTAAATCTCTCGTCGCAGAGCACCAGCACTATCCGCGCCAAGAACCAATCGTTGCCCAATTCCTAGCAAATCAAGTGCAGCGGAGTCTGCGCTGCTCGTCGGCCAAACTCGGATTTCGCTGTTTTCCAGCAGTAGCCTCAACATACTTCGGCGATCGATGCATAGATCTCGGTGTGCAATTACCTGACGCAAGAATCAGCGCGACTCGGATATTATATACACACAGTATAGAGACAGGCTCTCTCGCAAGCACGCATAAAAACGAAAAAAAAGTCCGATATAAGATCATTGTTGTTGGGGGCTCGTTAATTTAGCATCGGCACACTGATCGAGTCTCGTGTATGTGTGAGTATACGTGTTGCAGTTCAAGGCCCTCGGCGCATACAAACGAATACAGCAGCCTCGTCATCGTCGTATGCGTATTACACTTCGATACGGACATATTCGAATCATGCAGGAATACGACACGGACTATCGGTAAACACTGCGGTACACATATGCGCGCCTTAGCTTACTTGAATTTCTCAATGTATATATAATAAATTCTCATGAAACAATATGATTGTAAATTCAAACTCTCACTAATATGACTTTATTCAATGAATTGTAAAGCAGATCCAAGAGAAAAAAAGAAATAAATTCAATAAATACCTTCTGATTTTCCAGTTGCCAAAGCCAATAGAGGTTAGATTGATCCGCGGCGGGTCTCGACGCTCGCACTGGTGTTGAGATTCGACTGATTCTCCACGGAGATTCGTTGTTTCTTTCTCGCTCTCTTGCTGTGTCGAGTAACAGAACGTCCCGCTTTGTCTCGCGTCGTCCTACAAGTCTATGCGTGTTTACGTGCGTTCTTGCGAGGCGAGCTAGATTGAAATGCCGTACCAACTACCAAGAGTGAGTTCGCTCCCCTCTACTGCGTAACACAATCGCTACGTATAGTGTTGGGCACTCATACACTTGACTCTTTACAGCGTCGTGTGTCTCGGTCTCTCTCTCTCTCTCTCGCGCTCGCTCGTCGCGTTCGCTTGTCTCACTTTGTGTGTTCGTGTATCTTGCTCGATCGAACTGCTCAAATCATAGCAATCTGCGGCCGAACTAAAACAACGGTATGACTGCCGGGCATGTATAGTCGTACTGGTTTATAGTCATTCGAGTCGTACTTCTTTTTTGCAAATTTGTACTCAAACTTTTAATTGATTTTTTCGAGACAATAATTGGTAAGATAAATGTTATCGCGTTTAGCCTAAAATAGGATATTATAATAACAATATGATGAGAAATAAGTAGTTGAGCAAAAAATAAATTTTTCCAGATATTTTATTATTGAATGATGTCGAATCAAAATCGGAAACTCATTTATTCACAACGAACCAAGAGTCGATTGGCCAAAGAGGCAGCAGAAGCTGAATTAAATGCCATTAAGCAGAGTATTTATAATACATCTCAAGATCGTTCGAAAGATCCGTGCGAAGATCAAAGCGATTCAAGTTTTTCAAATTTTGATTATAATTATGATCTTTCACATAATGTCATCGATGTAATTGAACTTGATCAAACTGTTCATCATGATAATTCGCATAGTGTCATCGATACTGATCTTGATCATTTGAACAACCGAGTTTTATGTGTTTATAGTGCTGAAACAGTTGATGAGATCTGTGATGAATCTGACATTTTAAACGACGATTTCGAGTATCGCTACAGTGATAGTGATATATCAGACAGCGATTCATCGGATAACGAAAGTGAGGATATGAATTCCATTGAAGTGGCCACGGTAAAAATTAATACATTCAAGGAAAGTATCCAAAAATGGGCAATTGATTATAAAATTTTTCAAAATGCTTTGAAAGCCTTATTGAATATATTAAATGAGTTTACGGAAGAAAAGTTTCCGAAGGATCCTCGAACTCTTTTAAAAACCAGTAAAGATTATGAAATTATTCCCATGCCAGGAGGACACTATTGTCATTTAGGATTGAAGGGTGCTGTGGAACGGATGATAAAAAAATTAATTGAAGTTAATATTCTTCGAAAAAACCAACTGAAAATTTTAGTTTCTACCGATGGAGCCCCTATTGGAAAATCAAGTAGCTTGTCGATGTGGCCAATATTATGTTGTCCCTTGGGTGTTAGTTTCGTTCAAGTAATTGGTATTTTTATCGGAGAGAGTAAACCAGCTGATTCAAATGAATTTTTTAAGTGTTTCGTAGATGAAGCGATTGATTTAATAACCAACGGTATGATTTATAATTTTCAACCTTATAAAATAATAATCGAAGGTTTAATCTTTGACACGCCTGCAAAGTCTTTCGCTTTGAATACTAAATATCATAGTGGCTACAACAGTTGCACTAAATGTTGTATTTACGGATCAAATATTGATAAAGTTATTTGTTTTCCAAACGTCTCTCCAGAACCTAAATTGAGAACGGATTCAAGTTTTAAAAATTTTGAGTACAGCCATGAAAATTTGGATGATTATCAAAAGAAAAGAACAATATTGAGTGACTTACCGGCAATAGGGTTAATTACCAGCGTACCTTTAGATTATATGCATCTAATTTGTCTCGGCGTTACCCGAAAGTTGATTTTTCTTTGGCTCAAAGGACCATTGAAGTATAGATTAAATGGATTACAAGTGAATTTGATTTCGGAAAAATTACTTGAATTACGAAAGCATATGCCTAATGATTTCCCTAGAAAACCTAGGAGTCTGGCACATTTAAAGCTATGGAAAGCCACAGAGCTACGCAATTTTTTGCTATATATAGGTCCTGTTGTGCTAAAAAATATATTACATCCTGATGCGTACAACAATTTTTTATTGATTCATGTAGCCATTCGCATTTTGGCTGATTCACTCGCTGTTCAAGAAGAAGATAATATTGAATGTGCTGAAAAACTGTTACAAAAATTTGTTGAAGACTTTCAGGATTTGTACGGAAAAAGATATGTTTCTTATAATGTTCATAATTTAAATCACTTGGCATGTGACGTCAGAAAATTCGGTGCTTTAGATAAATTTAGTGCCTTTCCATTCGAGAGTTATATTTGCAGATTGAAGTCATTCATTCGTAAAGGAGATAAACCGCTTCAACAACTCGTTCGTAGACTTTCTGAATCTCAACACATCGTAACTCGCACAGATTGTTTGGCTCGTAGAAGAAAAATTTTTTTAAAACATCATCACGATGGGCCTGTTACAAATGATCTTGAATATGAAGATCAGTATCGAATTTTCCAGAATGATTCAATCAGTCTCAAATGTGACGATGACAATAATGACTGCGTTATATTAAAAAATGACAAGATAGTAAGGATCTATAATTTTGCTTCTTGCAAGGGTAAATTTTACATCATCGGAGAAGAATTGTACCCGCAAGGAAATCTATATGAATTTCCTTATAAATCAAATTTATTTAATATATGTTCAGTAAAACAAAGCAAAATCATGAAAAAATATTCTGTCGATGACATTTTTGCTAAAATGTTCAAAGTACCACATGAAAATCAATTTGTAGTGTTTCCCATATTGCATTCAATGAGTTAATTTAAACAGTAGTGATTTATTAATATTTTTTTTAATACATTTTCGTCAAATTTTTGTAATAAAACAAATTTCAGATAAGTCAAAAAAATTCATTGCATTTTTCATTTTTTTAGTTTTTGTTCTCTGTTTGCCTGACGAAATTGTGCATTAACTAACCATGCACCAATTTTTGATTCAATGAAGATTTCTGTTGCTTCAGGAAACGTTCTCATTACAGCAGCTAAAACAGAACATAATGATTAACTATCACATGAATAAAACAATGAAAAATAGAAAATAAACGCTGTTCATTTTCTTACCCATGATACACTCAGTCAGTCTAAGAGACGAAAATGGGGCTTTTCTGTATTTCCCTTTAAAACTAAAGTTTGTAGCTACCTCGTCAACCATGACTCTGGATAAAATATTGATGGTTAGAGCAGAAATATCTCTGCCTCCTGTGTTGGCAAGTAAATCAATCTACAAATAAATCCAAGTATAAATATCATGAAATATTACATATCAGAGAGTTTATTTATTTGTGAAATTAAACATGATTACCATATCTCTCTTAAAATCATCATTCTCTAACTGCTTATCAAATGTTAATAATTCTTCTTTGGTTTTCAATGGAAAATCCATTATTCCGTCTTCAAATTAAACGATGCTTCACTTATCTAGACATAAAAAATACAATAAATAGCTTCAACTGTAGAAAAACACTTTATTTACATAATAAAAATGAATTGATGCGATTCAGAAATATATTTGAGTTTCTTAAGCATAAGGTACTTGAATTTTTCAAATGTATGCATAAACAATGCTAATTTGCCATTTAAATGTAAATTTAATCACTGAATAAAAAGTCATTTGATAACTACTTCTTATTTTCTGAAATCATTTTTTAGCTAGGAATTTGCTTTCATTTTAATGAATTGTTAATGCTTAAACGTCAAGTTACTATTTTTTACGTGTACGCATATTCTCTATACAATAAAGTATAAATAAAATAATTACCTTTTTTAATAATGGTACACGACGCTCGACTTGCCTGCCGAATTTAGAAAGAGCTTAGTAACACACTACTACGATGTTCACAGTGGGTCTCGACGCTTGTACTGCACTGGCGTTGAGTTTCGACTGATGCTTTGTAGACGTTCGTCGTTTGTCTCTCGCATCTCTTGCTATGTGTCGTAGCAAAACGTCCCGCTTTGTCTCGCGTCGTCCTGCGAGTTCATGCGTGTTTACGCGCGTACACGCGAGGCAAGCGCGATTAAAATGCGATATCAACTACCAAGAGCATGTTAGTGAAAAATTATTATGATAGTTTTGTAAATTATCGAAATGAAAATTCGCAAATCAATATTACTTCGGTGCACTGGAAATACACTATGTGGACATTTATTTTATCCATTGGAACGTGAAATCTTTATAGTTATATAGGTTCAAATACATACGTATTACTAATTTATCGTAGTCAAACATGAAATTTTCGTAGTATTTGAAATCGGAAAATCTTAAAACAACCTTACTCTGATATTCTGAAAGTATATGTTTCTAATTCATCGTAAGCAAACATTGTTATGATATTTTTTTGATATTTGAAATTAAATATATCGAGTCAATAGCAATTTGATGCTGGGAAAATATTGCAATCTGATATATCAAGGTCAAATATAGTTACGACATTTTTGAAACATTTTAAATCGAAAAATCACGAGTCAACATCATCTTAATGTTGTGAAAATATTTTATTCTAATTTATCAGGTGTAAATATTATCGAGAAATTCCTAAAATGTTTGAGATAAAAAAATCGTCAGTCAACATTAAATACATACTGTTTAACTAAGTCTTTCTGATATATTGTGAACTAATTATCGTTCAGTTTGATTTATAGATCTGCAACATGGCCTCAATATTCCTCCAATATTCGAAACTTCAAAATCAAAATGAAACAATAAAATATAAATTAAATATTTGATTTAACGGTACCAAATACTAGCCGTATTTCACCATTTTTGGATATATTTCATTTTTATTTATTGAAATATATATTGTTTCAACATTTATGCAATATTTAAATAAAAATTTATTCACATATATTGATATTATGGTGACAGAATACTTGATTTTGAAATATCAAAAACTAATAATAGCTTAACATTTCCTGGATGTTTCATTTTGATTTAATGAATTGCAATGTCGGCTCAACATTCATGCAATATTCGTAATAAAAAAATTATTTTCAAACATAGATAAAATATCAATGAAATATTCAATTTTAAAATATCAAAGGCTAATAATATTTGAATATTTCTGAGATATTTTATTTTGATTTATTGAAATGCAATATTAGTTCAACATATATGCAATATTGAAATTAAAAAATTAATCACGAATATTGATGTAATGTTGTTAAAATAATGGATTTTAAAATATCACAAACTTATAATACTCCAATATTTCTAAGATATTTTATTATGATTAATTAAAATACAATATCATCTCAACATTCATGTAATATTTCAAATTAAAAAATTTATCTCAAAT